TGAAAAAAACATTACGAAATTTTTCTAAAAGGAAATTTCAAATATATTTTCATGCATTTGTGAATAAGTTTCATTAAAATCCGACAATTATTTGATTTTTACAAGTTTTTGACCGAATAAAAAGTGATAAAACACCCAGCGTAATATTTGGACGACCGCTGACGAGAGAAAGAAAAAAAAAAACAAAAAGAAAATAGCGATTATTAACTGAAATTCCGAACAAGGATTAAAAAAATTCACAGAATAATGAAAAAAAAAGTTGAGGCACCTAATATAAAATATTCGAATGCAGATAAAACATAATGGACCAATGAAAATAAAAACATCACAAATAGTAAAATTACCAGGATTTCTTTATTTTCTTCATATGTCTGTCTCATATAAAGCTTTAATAAAAGGGAAACGTTCTATTCGTATTATATCTTATATATATATATATATATATATATATATATATATATGGTGAAATAAATTATTATAATAAAATTGGTCTGTTTTTCTTTATATATATATATATATATATATATATATATATATATATATATATATATATATATATATGGTGAAATAAATTATTATAATGGAACCTTAAAGTGGTCTGTTTTTCTTTTTTATATATATATATATATATATATATATATATATAGTGAAATAAATTATTATAATGGAACCTTAAAGTATATATATATATATATATATATATATATATATATATATGAAATAAATTATTATAATGGAACCTTAAAGTGGTCTGTTTTTCTTTAATATATATATATATATATATATATATATATATATATATATATATATATATATATATATAGTGAAATAAATTATTATAATGGAACCTTAAAGTGGTCTGTTTTTTTTTAATATATATATATATATATATATATATATATATATATATATATATATACAGGTACTTAATGGAAAGTGTTCAATATCTGTAACAGAGCTAACACTGTATTTGCAAATTAATATTCATACAACTGAATATATATATATATATATATATATATATATATATATATAGAGAGAGAGAGAGATAGATAGATAGATGGATAGATAGATACTGGGTTTAACTGCAAAATTGTCTAATTCGAGCAACAGCATGGGATAATTTTCCACACCACTTAATGTTTAATATCTAAAAAACACGAAACTAATTGAGTTTCTAAATTTTCAGGTTTTTGATACGATGTTTAGCCATTTTTACTCCATTTTTTTGTAAGAATCACTGATGAACGCTTCAAGTTATTCAGCTAGAAATAGAAAAGGTTAAAATCGTTTTGTGTCAGCCTAACTCTCTTCACAACTGAGCTATGTTAAGAGAGAAAATGCCATTCAGGCCTACAGTAATGATACCAACATTCATACCATGGCTTTCATCTACAAAGTTTATTCAAGAACCATCAAGAGAATGGTGAATATGTTTAAAAAAAAAAAAGAAGGACGGAACAGTAGAGAGGAAAACTGCATGAAGATGTCAAAACAGAAAGAGGGGTCATCATTTCAGCTTAGAGATAAAGAGATCAATTAGAAAAGATCCAACTCAATTCTTAAGTCGTTTGGAAGGTGAGAAACAAGGTTCAGCAATGACTGCCGAAAGAGCAGTGAAAATAATCTTGAAAATGAAATCGTACGTGAAATATGTGCGGCACCTTGTTAAAAGCTTCGTCAGAGGCTGAGAAAAACAGACAAAAAAAAAGAAAACACTGGCAGTTTCAGTTATGTTTGCGTCAGTTCTCATTGGCCAGACACGTGTCACGTGTATTAAAATCGTTCTATGGTGTGGAGATTTGTGGAGATTCTTGTATGTCTAAGTGGGCATTAGATGGTAATGTTTATTCGTAATTGTGTATGTAGGTCTCTCTAGTGCGAGTTCTGATGTCTTCACCATCGTACGATAAGCCCACGTAGTTTAATGCCATATGGTTCTAATTTATGGCTGACCTCTTTAAGCATGTATTCTTTGTATTAGATATAAGTTAGATTCCCTTAAGAATGGATTCAAAGAAAGATGGCAATGTAATATAGTGTTTTAGATATGTGTTTATAGTTGGTAATAATGTTATTATTATGTTTTGAATGTATTTTCTCCTTAAGGACTTATGTTATTTTTTTTTAATTAGGGTGACATTAGTGAAATAAAAATTATGTCCAGCATCGTTTCGAAGCCAAAAAAAAAGAAGAGATTTGTTGTCCAAACGCAAGTCTCACTTGTGATCGTAGATGCGGGGTTTTTAATCACGTGATGTCTCCACCATATAAAGATATTTGCATTATAAACGATTTATTTGATAAATCCCGGCACTTGAATTGGTGTTGGGTTTATTTGTTGGCAATGGATCTCACCGATTGTATTTTCAGGTATGGTCTTCGATTCATGCATTTTGTTTTATTTATCCCAAGGGCTCTGAGGAACTGAATTTTTGGATTTTTAAGGGGAGGATAAAAGGATGTTGGCAATGGAGAAGTTTGAATATATTTTTCATATATTAATTTCATTGCATTCCGTGTTTATCCCATATATATATATATATATATATATATATATATATATATATATAT